GTTTTAATTAAATAGACTCTTCATAAATAATCATTTATAACTAAAACAAATTCGAAATGTTGTCTGCAATTGAATTAGATATCAAAGGAAAAACCGGAAAAAACATATTCCAAGATGTCGAGTAGGAACTATATGAGATAAATAAACAGGAAAGGAACGACTTTGAATTGTTAATTCCTACAAATCACATATTAATAGTTTTCAATTTTATTTTGCCTTGTTATTTCTAGTACCAGTTAAAGGTGTCGAAATAGAAAATAAAAACAGTCTAAATCTAGTAAATGGAGTGTCTACCACAATGAATTGTAAAGTCACCAATAATCCTGATCCAGTAATAAATTATAGATGGTTTATAGTAGAAACAGATCAAATATTATCAACATCATCATCTTTCCGATTGACACCAAATAAAAATCAAAATGGTCAAACTCTATCATGTTCAGCAGACAATGGATATGGTAGTAGTAAATCTGATGCTGTTATTCTAGATGTTCAGTGTAAGTATTTTATAAAAATATGTAACTATAATTTAATTTTGCCGCACCATATCATAACAAAAAAATTTGATCGGTCGTAAAAGAAAACGATGATTTGAATAATATGAAAATTTAGTACAAAACATGAAAAAGAAAATATTCTGAAAATCAAGATAGTACTAACAATTTAAATTTACGCTAAAACTCTAAATATAATAGGTATAAAAATTGACCAAAATTTCACATACCATCTGAAAAAAAATCTTTGTTACAACAGATTATATTCTAGCATGTTAATATAGACTAAGCTTAAATCATTTTGAAATCAAGCATATTGTGTATTTCTCTTATTAGATAAACCAAGTATATTTTATATTTCTGTTGTTAGATAAACCAAGTATATTTTATATTTCTTTTGTTAGATAAACAAAGTATATTTTATATTACAGATAAATGAAGTGTATTTTATATTTCTATTGTTAGATAAACCAAGTGTAAAGATAGAACCTGAAGTATCTGGTAACTTTAAAATAATAGAAGGTAATACAGTAGAATTAAAGTGTATTGTAACTGATGCTAATCCTAATGGTAGTTTGAGTTATAAATGGTATAAAGATACAACAACTACCCCTACAGGACAAGTTGATTCTACAGTTCAAATATCAAAGAAAGGAATATATACATGTTCTGTTTCTAATGGAATTGGTTCACCAGGAATATCAGATTCTATTACTATAGATGTTTTATTTCCACCAAGAGTTACCCTGACACCACAATATAGTATTATAGAATCTAATACCCTCACTATACCCTGTATAGCTACATCTAATCCTGTACCTAATAATTATACTTGGTCTGGACCTAATAACTTGTTCCAATCTCAACAGAATTTAAT